GAATGTGTTTATGGATTTGTCTACGTCTTCAGACAACTGCGGGACTTTCACAGAAGGCATTTGTTCTGTCTGCTTCTGCTTGCTATACATCTGTTCAAATGAAAAAATGAGTGGGCCCTGAAAGCATTTGGATTATTCTGCACTTAAAAATTGCATTGTCATTGCGTTCAAAATGTCAAACCAAGTGTCATTTGTGCTCAAATGCTGCTAGAGCTTTAAAGTTTTAAATATATATATATATTGAAGCAACTGATGTCTGAAGTTTAGTTCTCACAGATGTTCCACTAATGTTAGACAAGAAAGATTCGAAACACTTTTTGAACAGCATATCTGTGTGTTTTATTGCTAAATGACCATGGGAAATCGCTTGACGTGCGCAGTTGTTTCCCGTGTTGACATTTCCTTTTGGAAAAATAGTACATTTCTAAGGGCTCATCCCATTTTAACAGTCACCATCCTTTATTTTACTTCATAATTGCACATGATTTGCTACTTGCTATTGCTAGTCAGAAGTATTAGTGGGAGGGGCATGTTTATTCCAGAGAGTATTTGATTGGACAAACATTTTTTAGTTCAAGATGAGTCATCAATATATTGGGTCTGGATTATAATTTAGTATATATACTCTCTCTATATATATAAAACACACAGATATGCTGTTCAAAAAGTGTTTCGAATCTTTCTTGTCTAACATTTGTGGAAGGTGTATATATATATATGTCATTTGTTTTTTCATATTAGATTTTAAATGTGCATATGTGCTAAAAGTGAATTTTGTCAACTTGTCAACATGGGGTGTTTAATAGGCTACCTTTAACAAACTCGCGTTTATGCTTTAAAAGTGTGATTGTGCTTTAATAAATACATTGTGGTTTGACATTTTTAAATGTCTTAAATGTCCAAATACTTTCTCAATGTGTCATGATTTCAGTGACATGATTAATGATCCGTGCATGTCAGTCACTTTAGCTCCAGAAAAACAGTTTTGCACATGTTCAGTGAATCAGGCCTGTTGAGAAAGGGTCATCGCGCGGTTTCCAAAGAAAAGCTGAAAAGCTAGAAGAAGACATTCTTTGTGCGATGCCTTTGCAAACACGTTAGGCAAGCGCATCTCATGCCGTCTATTTTGGTGTGCATCTTCAGCTTTCCCACGACAGCAGAGAGAGATAGTGTGAAGGCCTTTCATAACCTGTCTCACATGGTCGCCCACCCGCCGCGCTCAGCTGAACGTCTATAGCCACACACAATGTGGACCCTGTTGGGACGGTTACGGCTGTGTCCACCATGTCAGACCTGCAATTCAGAACCTGGGTTACATTAAATCTGCATAAGGAAACATTTGCAAGATTCTTAGAACTAGATAGGAGATCATATGCCGTTTGATACATAAGCTACATCTGATAGTATATGCACTTAAAACATTCAATTCCATACAGATTTGTGTTGTCAAATCAGTTAAACGTGATTAATCACATCTAACATACATAAGTCTGTAAATATGTGTCTATATATATATATATATACATTCATGCTGTCAAATCGATCAATCACATCTAAAAGTTTGTAAATCAATTAATCGTGATAATTCAAATCTAACATAAAATTTTTAAATATATGTGTGTGTGTGTACAATATATATATATATACACACACACACATATATATATATACACACACACACACACACACATATTTACAAACCGATATGTTAGGTGCGATTAATCAATTTACAAAGTATTATTTTAGATGCGATTAATCGATTTGACAGCACTATTTATGTTGAATTATCAGCGTTTGAAGAGTCCTACACCATTTTATGAATTATTTTTAATTAATCATTCAGACCAATTTGTGAACCCATTCAACTGATTCATTTAAATGAATCGACTCAAATGATTCACTCACAAATCAGACCTCACTATGTAAGCAAGTTCCACGCAACACAAGACAAATATTTATCCAGTGGAATATTTTACAGTATAAAATGTATTTTATGGCATAATGGTCAGATTAGGGTTAGTATTTACACCATAGAGTTTCCTTTAAATTATTATACAGATAAGGTTTTTGACACACAAACCAAAACTTGTTGGATTGTTTCCAAAAAAGAAAGATCAAATTCTTAAATTCATAACATTCAAGTGAAATTTTATTTGATTTAAGGATCCAAATGTCAACAACTGAATGAAAATCGAAAATAAATGTTTTGACAAACCCCAGGATGATTTGTTTTCATGGCTCTGCTTTTTCATACAAGCATTTCATAGACAAACACAAGAAATAAACAATCAAAGGAACAAACTCAACAAATGAACTAGACAACATGGCAGTAGTAACACAGATTGGCACTGAAGCAGAAAAGCCCCACAGTCAATTCATAAAAATGGTCTACGAAAATTATTTTGATTTCACGTTTGTCTCGCTTATAACATTCAGTTCTGTTCTCTTCATATTTCATATTACATTGCACTTCTAATACTGTTCGTTCCCTTTAGACGTTTTGGTTCACGTTCATTTGAATACTGTGGTTTACCAGAAAAAAAAATGATATCCTGGGCTGCCAAATTCATTTAACTCAGTTATGAGCAGAAAACATGCTAAAAATGTTCAGGAATGGTTTTAAAGTCATAACACTAGACGGAAAACCCACCTAGCCTACGTCTCAGGACAGTACAAACACAAGGCATGCACGTTTTCTTAACATTGCACATTGTATTCTGGATTTAGACGCAGATAAACAAGCTATTCTTCAAAAATAAACTATTATTTTGGCATTTCAGAAACAAGAGACAATATTTTCCATCCGAAAATACAAAGATTGGACACATTATCAAACCTAAACAATGTATATAAATAAAAACAAACGATAGGCTCTCGATTATTAAGTTAATAAATCAAATATACACAATGATTAATTAGAAAATATGTACAAAGTCATCTATACAACATCTAAATTGACAGTGAATTTCATATAGACAGCAACTTCTAAGCATGACTGTACACATGTAAAAAAGAAAAAGAAAAAAAAGAGCAGAATAAATAAAAATGAACTGCTGGAAAGAGCGGGAAAATAAAATCCAGTCAAAAACCCAATAAATGGGAGTTAAATACAATCTTCAAGCACATGATGCACCAGTAATCATTGATTTACAAGCTATTTCTGGTGCATTAAGTTCTAAAACTGAATACAGTCTGCATGTGCCGTTCAGTTCAACGGTTGGGTGACGCTCATGAAACCCTCGGGAACATTTCCATGGCTAATTTCATCCCAAAGTCATTAGAAAGTAAAAAGACACTATATTTGACATGTTTAGCGCTATAAAGTTTAAGCACATTACCCTGTAATTCTCATTTCCGCAATGCAAAAACAGCGTAATTCGAGCATAATTTGAAAAAACAAAATAATGGTATATTATTTTTATTGTAGAATTTATTGTACTGCCTTTGGGGGCCGTTTACAACGACATCATTTTCAACTAAAAACTGAAAACTTTTTATGCGTTTTGGCGGCTAATTTACACGACAGCTGCGTTTTTAGATCCTGAAAACGTTCGAAAACGTTTTTCAAGGTGCATGTTTTTGAAAAAACGATACCATTATCGTCTCAGTGTAAACCACAACGCTTGTGTGTTACGCTTTTAGTCAATAGGCACGTGGTGTTTCTTTACAACGTGGCATCGCCATCTACTGGCCTGGCATGAATACTACAGCACTTCTTTTAATTGTTTTCGTGGATCCGTGCGAACAGAAACTTTTCATAAATGCAAAGGAAAAACGTTACCATTTCTAGTACCGTATTTTCCGCACTATAAGGCGCACCTTCAATGAATGACCTATTTTAGAACATTTTTCATATATAGCGCGCACCGGATTATAAGGCGCATGAGATACTGCAGTCAAACGTTTGACTGGGTTTGCGTTATGCATCTACTAGATGTGCTAAAGGGAATGTCAACAAAACAGTCAGATACAGTCAAACTTTATTAAGCGTTCTGACAACTCCGTTCACTCCCATGGTAACGTTGTTCAAACGTTAAAGGAAAACTCCGGTCAATTTTAACATTGAGCTCATTTTTTTTGTAAATTTGGAGTGCTGTCAGTACAGATAACAACGACAAAAACCGGTGTTGCCTACACCGTGTTATCCTCTTTTTAAAATTTGCACCCTGTCGACTTAAACGGGGCAAGTTTTAAACCTGCTTTTAGCCTCTTAACAACCTTAATGTGTCATTACAAGTGCACAGCCATGTGAGTGAACACGGTGAATCTGACTGCAGTAAATGTGAAAGATATGAATAAAAATTATGTTTATTCAGCCAGCTCACATACCCGTATTTTCTTCCTGTTTTCGGTCGAAGTCCACAGTAGGCGATTGTCGAGTGCGCGCGCGATCATTGGTAACTAAGCAACAGTGGAGACTCAGACTGTCAGCCAATGACGGTGCTGTGTGGTGTTCTGAGAATATCAGCTCAAATGGATAGTTCATCCGAATCAGATGTTGAACACACGGAGGAGGTTTGATCGCGCGCGCGCGAACTCGACAATCGACTACTGTGGACTTCGGCCGAAAACAGGAAGTAAATACGGGTATGTGAGCCGGCTGAATAAAGAGATTATTCCTGCCTTCGTGAAAGCTCGGATCACAGTTGAGACTGATATATCATCCACGATCCATTGGCAGATAGTGGCGTAAGTCGCCCGGCGCGGTCTCCCCGTCTTGGTGAACGTGTGTTCACCATCCATATATAAGGCGCTCCGCATTATAAGGCGCACTGTCGTTTTTTGAGAAAATTAAAGGCTTTTAAGTGCGCCTTATAGTGCGGAAAATACAGTACATCGTTGTCATGTAAATGTACCCAAAATTTATGCTGATTTGCAAAAAAAAAACAAGATTACAATAATGAGAATTTGGGAGACAAATGTGCTTAATTGTCATTAAAATAATCTAATAATGTCTATGATTTCTAGGGTGAAATGTGACCCGGACATGTTTTTAGCAGATTCTGGCCAATTACATTCACGTTCAAGGTTTCGTCTTCGAGGCTCTAAGTTCTGCACAGGCTAATGTCTCCAGGCCCTACAGACACTGACTGACGCACAGCAACAGAAAACGGACCCGCCTGTGGTCCCACTGCAGCGCAACGCCTGAACAAATACTGTCCGGACTTGTCGTCACAGTCAACAATAAGCTTTTTGATTCATTGGCTATTCTTTGACCTTTTTCGAGACGTCGTCAATGATTGTTATACGATAAACTCCATTTTGTGCGAGCTGTGTTGCGTGTCCGGATCCCTTGGCTGTGAATCCGGAGCTCTGTGTTGCGACTCCAGGTCTCTGTTGTCGCGTTTGTTAGTCCAGAGCGGGGCTTTCCCGTCCGTGTCGATGGAGCTGAGCCTGTCGTCTCGGTCCACCAGCACGTAGGCCGGCTGACGTGGAAAGCGTGTCTTCTGCAAGCGCGTGTTGGAGTCGTCCTGCGTCAGCCTGGTGGACTCGGAGAAATGCGTCCTGATTTTGGCGTTGACGGTGTTCTTGTCGTCACAGTGGTGCTCTTTTCCTGGCAGGCTGCCGTTAGACGCGTTCTTCTCGATGTGGTTCTTGATCTGGTTGAGCTGCTCACGAGCGTTGTTCACCGTGTTTTCCTCCGCGGTTCCTGTGGAGAACGGGGTGGCGGGGTTGATCGCGGTGGGGCTGGAGCTTTGTTTGCGTCGATGGCGCACGCACCACAGGAACACCGACGCCAGGGCCAAAACCCAGATCGCCGTCACAATGGAAACCAGCAGTGGCACCAAGTAGTCTACTGAACGAGAACCAATGCATTAATAAAAACAAGCCGGCAAAAAAATGACATCCATTCAATGGGTCTCATTCATGAAACACGAGAAGAACGAATTTTTGTGTAAATCGTGTGTAAAGTGGTTCTGGCGTAAATTTTCGGATTCATTAAAATGTTCGTATTTTCCAAATGTTAGTTGGTACACAAGAAATCTACACCTGCTCCCAGCCACGCGTAAATAGTGCGCTTAACACCCGAACGTTTTGCTCATTAATAACTAAGGCTGCATTTTAATTCACCTTAATCGGGTACATATTTGCACAGCATTTTGAAAAAATATTATATATAGTAATTACATACGGTTTTTCTTATTATGAGAGCCAGTAATAGCATCTGCGATGGTGGTCCTTCTCCAGTTTGAATACTATTTTTCCGAAGTGAACTAATTCGTTTTTTGCTCTCAAGCTTAATGTCGAACCATTTTCTTCTCACTTCTGGGAATGTTCGATTAACAGATGAATCTCCATTAACTGCATCTGTAATATGCTGCCAAGCTTCCTTTTTTTTTAGGACCCGATACGCCACTATGTACGCTTGAAAATAAAATGTGCCGTTTTGAATGAACTTCTGATAATAAAACTTCAATTTCTGCATCTGAGAAATTTTTTTTTTTTCATTCGCATTCATGTCATAATATGATGCCCATATATAGTTGTCAGTCGGATTTAATGGGCGGGATTTATGGTAATTGAGAATGAATGTGCACGCGCATCCCATTTACGACTGATTGGAATTCATTAACACACACACACATTTCACTATCACATCTGACGTTTACGAAGTATTTGTGAATCAGGAGAAGAGTTTTCGGGAAGGTCTCTTTACGCGCAAATCACTCGCATATTTACTCGTATATTTACGAATGTTTCATGAATGAGACCCATTGTGTGCAAAGCATTTAGTATTTGACTATTCATTCGTTATTAAATTGAATAGCAACGAAATCGTAATATTTTTCATCTCATGCAATTCAACACTGTATATACACCCACTATAATTTAAAGGTTTGGAGTTGGCAAGATTTTTTGCTCACCAAAGCTGCATTTATTTGACCAAAAAAAATACAGTAAAAACAGTAATATTGTAAAATATTATTACAATTTAAAATAAACATTTTCCATTTTAATATATTCTAATATGTAATTTATTCCTGTGATCAAAGATGAATTTTCAGCATCATTCCTCCAGTCGTCAGTGTCACATGATCCTTCAGAAATCATTCTAATATGATGATTTGATGCTCAAAAAACATTTATTAATTCAATGTGGAAAACTACTAGCATTTATTTGAAATTGAAATGTTTTGTAACATTACAAATATCCCTTTTGATCAATCTAATGCATCCTTGCAAATTTCCCTCAGCCAAAGTTTTGAACGGTAGTTTATATCTCAATATTTCTGTATTTGCTCTGAAATAGTCATTTCCAATCAGAGGATCCATCGTTTTGACCTTACGGCTACTTCCTGTGAGGTTTAAGAACTTCCTGTGGTGTCTCACCGTTGGGGTTTTGGGGTTGCCTGCGCTGCACGCGGACCTCAGCGATGGAGCCGATGATGGTGCTGTTCGCGCTGTGTTTGCTCACCAGATCGATGATGCTGTCCGTGATCTCTTTAACTGGAACTCGGCCGTGGATGCCATCCTCAGTCACATGCTGGAAAACACAATATTTCCTTTAAAATGCAACTTTAAAAAAACTATTCTGACCTAGCTAGGTTTAGAAAATTACAGTAGAGTTAACTGTATGCCCGTTGTACATGGCAACTGTGTATATATATATACGGGGCTTGACATTAACACCTGCCAAATGCGGGTGGATTTCAGCAGTGGCGTGTAACGTAGACAGGGCTTGAAATTCGGCGTGTGATTGCGCGTATTGCGCATAATTTTACTCATTCCCGCAGATTTTGTGCTCACACCCGAAGTGCGGCACATAAAGCCGCCTCTCAGCACTAAATTTAGTTATTTTTCGTTGCTTATTGTGCTCAAACAGTCAAATACACACAAAATAATGTCAAAATGGTGGTCCTGGCTGGTATTCATGTAAACACAGTCAGTTATGTTTTAAGTGTATGTAATCAGCAGAGAAAGAAAACACATGTGTAACAGTATAATGGATTTAAAGTGACAGCAGCCTAATATTCCTGCTGCCACATTATGAGATCATGCTAAAAATATCGATATAGCAGTTTTCCCCCGTGGTATCGATGTCAAAACAGTGGCTAGTGAGCTAAAAAGTTACTGTCTAGCCCTGTAATTCAATCATTTTTCAAGTCATTCTTTATAACTATAAGGATATTATCGCATTTTATAGAAACTGCAGCAATTTCTAGCCAATTAAATACTGCGTTAGATCACTTACGATGGCAACGTGGATCTCATTATTGGCGGCAGAAGAGAGTTCACAGGTCATAGAGATGGAAAACTCAGTCGAAACATTCTTGGTCACATACAGATGTCTCAGCTCACGACACACCTGCTCCACCGTCACTCCCTGAGAGCCAAAGTACATACACCCATTAAAGACATCATAGAATAAGAACACATTTTAATATGCATGTATTAATTAAGTATATATATGCAACCCTATCATCACCAAACTTTGACTATCAGTCTGAGTGGCCTCACCTGTGGCATGGTGTCCTTGTTGAAGGTGAAGGTGACGTTGGCGCAGTCGCTCTCGGGGTGACAGCGCGCGCGTACGGCCGGCCGGTGAGCAGACATGCACTCGCCCTGAGACAAGCAGGGCTTTACGAAACACTGCTCGTCACGCAGCGACACACACAGCTGACCCAGCGGACAGTCACCTCGCCCGGAGCCGAGCATACGGCAGGGTTTAGGGCCACACCACAGCTGACCACAAGAGGAAGGAAGCGCAAGTATTGTAAACGATAACGCATCACTATTAACTTCTGTCGACAGTTAAACAACAGCTATAACACATACCTTAGTACAGGTCACGATGCCCTTGTGGCAGTAACAGGTGTTGCAGTCTTCGGCCCACTTCGCTCCGTCCACAGCAATCCGACCGCCAGCCACACACGGACGTCCGGTGACTGAGAGAAAAAACAAGCCACTTTAAAGATCATGTGACATTCACACTTTTTTATTCTTTAATTAGGGCCACTTTTGGCTATTTGAAATCTTGAAAAATGAATCTTTTCCAAATTATGGTTAATTTGTGTTCAAACATTTTTCACACATCCCATTATCCACCTTCAATTTGTGAGGGTAATGATGTTTATGTTATTTGAGAAAGAAATAAGCCTTGATCTTGCTAATACGATAAGTAAGCTAGTACTCAGAACTTGTCATTAAGAAAAATTACAAAGAAATGGATTGATTCTGAATTAAAATTACTATTAAAATAATCAAATTATTGAATTATTTAAATATAATTAAATTACCAAGGGTTTCGGTAATGACACCTAACAAACCTATTCTGAAATCATGATTAAAATGAAAATTTTAATCCCCCCCCAACACACACACAATAATATTAATACAATAGTCAGTAAAAAAATTTGTAAAAAAGTTAATTAAGTAATATTAAAACACTAAGGGTTTCGTTAACACCATCTAACAAACCTACTCTTATATCATGACTAAAAATAATAATATTAAAACAATAGTCACAGTAAAAAGTGTAAAATTCATAATATATCTTTTGAATCTACAATAATTCATATTGAAATAAGGGTTTTGTTAACGACACCTAACTATTCTGAGATCATGATTAAACAATAACACAATAATATTAACATGATATTCAGTCAAAATTTTAAAAGTATAATAATATGAGATCTATGCTGAGAATGATCATGATTTAAAAAAATTAAAAAATGAACAATAGATATTGGATATTATAATATATCCTTTAAATCTAGAACAAAAAAATAATTACATTTAAATGATTAGAGGACAGAAAAGTCCCTCTAATAAATGCATGATTTGAGGTGTCTGTAGCACAAAGGTTTACTCCTCAAGATAAGGGATTTGAAGAACCTCAAACTCTGTATAAGCAATAGCAACCATGACTAATAATATTCATGTTAATTAAACAGCAAGCATGAACAACGGCAGCTGTACCTTCCTGACACCTGGACCCGGTCCTGCCGGGGGGACACAGGCAGCGGTAGCCGTTAATCTCGTCCACACACGTGGACCCGAATGCACAGGGAGACGACTGGCACTCATTGATGTCTGTAGGGTGAGACGCACGTTTACATTACTGTAAAATCACCATCTTATGTGTCGATATGAATATATATATTAGATAAAGCGTCATTATCACTCACTGATGCGACAGTCCGGCCCTGCGAATCCACTGGCACACTCACAGCGGTACCAGTTATCCCCGTCCACACACGTACCGCTGTTATAACTGCACAAAGATCACACACGTGATGAGATATGGGGTCAAAGTTCAACAGGACACATGCTGCCTTCAAGTCCTCCGGGGATATTTCTACAAGTTTGGACGTCAAATACGTGGTGATGTGCACAAGTTTTGTCAGAAATAATTTTTTTCACATTTTATTTCTCTCTTTTTCACAGAAAAAGTTGTAATGAAAGAAATTGACCAAATTGTTATTATTTTTTTATTATTAATTGATAATGAATATTTTAAAATATACATTATTTTGTTTGAAAATATCAATTTAATTAATTTAAATATTTATTTGATTAATCGGATGCTTTGTGTATTTTTCTCTATGCTTGTGCACACAGAGAATGATGGGAAATGCAGTTGTCACACAAGTCTCCTTACGAACAGGCTAAATTTGCAGTATTTTCTGGTAAAATCACAATTCTTCATTAACAATACACCAAATACATATAAACTAAATTGTACAGTTAATGCTCACAATTAAAACTAGGTTATAATCAATACCAATTAGTTTCCACCATTTTTCTTTAATTGAAACTTAATTAAGTTCAGAACGTAAAAGTAAAAATATATGTGGGTAAATATTGCTGTTGATCACAATGTATTGTTATTAGTGCTGTCAAATCGATTAATCGCGATTATATATACATATATATACACACACTCACGCACACACACACATAATATATATATATACATATAATAATATACATACACACACACACACATATATATATAATATAAACAAACTTTTATGTTAGATGCGATTAATCACGATTAATCGATTTGACAGCACTAATTTATATTTTATTATTACATATTGTTATAAAAAAATTAAATTTTTAAAGATTAGGAAGTTATTCAATTAGATTAAATTTAATCCAACTTGATTTGAAGGCAGCAACAAATGTAATGTTGACGTAGAATTAAGCTTACCATGGTTGTGGGTTGCAATCGTTGGAATCTGTAAAACGAAACATCAATTATTACAGATTGAATACAGATATTAAAAAAGCAATCCTCCAAAAACTCTTCTTGTTAGAATGAAATCAACACGTTAACAGTTAGTTAACACAGTTATGTACTAGCTCATAATCACACCTGAACAATCATTCATCAAAGTTACGTCTGCTAATGATATTTGAGCTGAAACTACTCAATTTCGGGCATTTTCTAGGCATATTTAGGGCATTTTCTGTGTTTGTTATGGAAAGTTCTGCAGTGCAGATTCGGCATGGGTCCGCAACTAAAGATAAAGGTGACGTGTCATTTTTCTACATTTAAATAATTGCTTCTATCCCAGTGTAACATACAGGCACAAGTAATTCGTAGATAAGGTCAGTCATTATTTTGGGACGAGGCGCAGAACTGACACACTTCAGCTTTAAGGAACTATCCAATTAGTATATAGTTTGGAAGAGAACCTTAAGCAGCAGTAGGTGAGAGTTGGAAACAGGAGGTAGACAGGAGTCAAGACAGGAAGTAGTAAGGAAGTGGAACAGGAAGTTTTGCCGTACTCTGGCTGCAGGTGAGCCCTTCCCAGCCTTCTTTGCAGACACAGGTGAAGCTGTCACCTGTCACGACACACGTGGCTCCGTTCTCACAGGGGTTCGGCAGGCAGCTGCTGTTCTTCGCTGTAGACGATGAGAAACGTTCATTATAACGGATGGATTCAGAGCCCAGCTCACAGAAATGCTCCTTCAGGTCATTAGCAGCTCACCTATATTACAGGTAGCGCCTTCCCATCCAGGAGCACACATGCACTTGAACGAGTCGCCTTCGTCTGAACACGTGCCGCCGTTGTTACAAGTAGCCTCGTCACACTGGCTCTCGCCTATAAACCAGAAGAAATCAGCTGTCACACAAGAGACACCTCATGCAATATCATGAAGATCACGATTTATTAGACTAGTTCTGCGATCCTTTCACGTCTTGAAGCTGTGAGAATGTAAGATAAAAGTGTCTCGGATTTAAACTTCAGTAGGAAGAACGACAGAGTCAGAAAGCGTGATTCATTTCTATGAATGAGATCAAACTGTTCATTTAAATGAATCGATTCAAACTCTAATTCAATTATTTGTTTGCATCATCACTCAAATGTTCAGGGAACTCGTTGCATGCTGTTTCACACGTGTAAATGGTTAATATGTACATTATGTAGATTTTGCTATTATTGCTATTATTATTTTGCTAAGTATAGTTATTTTATATATATATATATATATTATTTTGTATGTATTACTTGTAAATTAAATTGTTATATAAAATAATATAAATATTGTTATTTAAATTAAAAAGAATAAATACCATTATTAAAGGTTAAATTCAATTAAAAATGTCATTAAAATAAAAAATCTATTCTTAAAGATCGAATAAAATTAAAAGTTTAAATATTAACCTTTTTTTTTAGAGAAAAACGGTTATTTTAGCTAACTAAAAGTAAAATCATTTAAAAAAATAACTTTTCGTAACTTAAAATTAAATAAATGTTAGCTGAAATAGAATAAAATATAAAAACAAACAGATTTTATTTCAGCTATTAGCCATGTGCTAAAATAATACAAATTACAATAAAAAAACTCAAATAAATAAAATTGAATAAAAACTATATAGACATTTTTTTAAAGTAAAATGACCAAAACACAACAAAATTACTAATACTTAAACTAAACTTAAAATAACAGAAAATACTAAAATAAAAAAAATAAAAAAGCATCTCAATGATACTAAAATAACACTAAACAAAACATGCTAGGTTTTAACTGTATTTTAGTTCTTAAATTAAACATTTTGAATTGACCTGACAACAAAATCTCGCTTTTTATTTTATTTTTGTATATTTAAATGATCTCTAGCCCAAAGTCAACGGTATGCAAATGAGGAGGTGTGGCTTACGTGAATGACAGGTCTTTCCCTTCCAGCCGTTTTCGCACTCGCAGTAAAAGTCATTGACCAGATCCCGGCACACTCCTCGGTCCCGACAGGGGTTCATGCTGCAGTCGTCAATGTCTGTTTTGGAAACAAACAATGTATCTTAATATAATTAGGGAAATGTATTACGATTGCATTACAATTTCCAAATAACTGAATTCCATTTCAAGTGACATTAAAGAGAGAGATGCACTCACTGGTCTCACAGTTGGGTCCCTCCCATCCATCAGCACAGATACACTGGTAAGTGTTGATTTTATCAATGCAAGTACCACCATTGCGGCAGGGACTACTTTCACAGTCATTGATGTCTGAGAGTAAAGAGTGAGACACATGATGTTAAGAAGATTCTATGTTTCTATGACTTTAAAGAACACAAATAGCGCTGAACATGGCACTTACTCTCATGGCAGTACGTCCCTGTGAATCCCTCCTGACACTCGCAGCTGAAATGCCCACCGGCGTGGCTTCGACAGCGCCCGTGAGGACCACACACACTGGAGGAGAGGAGGCGCGTGCCGCCTGGAGTGCTGTTAGACGCCACGGCAACCGTGCAACTGTCAATCACTGGGGGGAAATATGGACGAGTTATCAAGAGTCCTTTTGGTACAAACTAGACAAGACGCATGAATGGACGACTACAAATGTCTGTGTAAAAATGGAAGCGTGTGCCATTGTGAAAGGTTATGCAGCAGAAGTTTTTGGAGTTGGTTGGTGCAGGTTTCTAGGTGGTCTAGTCTAACCAGATCTAACTAGGTGGTCTAGTCTAACCAGATCTAACTAGGTGGTCTAGATCTAACCAGATCTAACTAGGTGGTCTAGATCTAACCAGATCTAACTGGGTGGTCTAGTCTAACCAGATCTAACTAGGTGGTCTAGATCTAACCAGATCTAACTGGGTGGTCTAGATCTAACCAGATCTAACTAGGTGGTCTAGTCTAACCAGATCTAACTAGGTGGTCTAGTCTAACCAGATCTAACTAGGTGGTCTAGTCTAACCAGATCTAACTAGGTGGTCTAGATCTAACCAGATCTAACTAGGTGGTCTAGATCTAACCAGATCTAACTGGGTGGTCTAGTCTAACCAGATCTAACTAGGTGGTCTAGATCTAACCAGATCTAACTGGGTGGTCTAGATCTAACCAGATCTAACTAGGTGGTCTAGTCTAACCAGATCTAACTAGGTGGTCTAGATCTAACCAGATCTAACTAGGTGGTCTAGATCTAACCAGATCTAACTGGGTGGTCTAGATCTAACCAGATCTAACTAGGTGGTCTAGATCTAACCAGATCTAACTAGGTAGTCTAGTCTAACCAGATCTAACTAGGTGGTCTAGATCTAACCAGATCTAACTAGGTAGTCTAGATCTAACCAGATCTAACTAGGTGGTCTAGATCTAACCAGATCTAACTAGGTGGTCTAGATCTAACCAGATCTAACTAGGTGGTCTAGTCTAACCAGATCTAACTAGGTGGTCTAGTCTAACCAGATCTAACTAGGTGGTCTAGATCTAACCAGATCTAACTATGTGGTCCAGTTTAACCAGATCTAACTAGGTGGTCTAGATCTAACCAGATCTAACTAGGTAGTCTAGTCTAACCAGATCTAACTAGGTGGTCTAGATCTAACCAGATCTAACTAGGTGGTCTAGTCTAACCAGATCTAACTAGGTGGTCTAGATCTAACCAGATCTAACTATGTGGTCCAGTTTAACCAGATCTAACTAGGTGGTCTAGTCTAACCAGATCTAACTAGGTGGTCTAGTTTAACCAGATCTAACTAGGTGGTCTAGTCTAACCAGATCTAACCAGGTGGTCTAGATCTAACCAGATCTAACCAGGTGGTCTTCTAGATCTAACCAGATCTAACTGGGTGGTCTAGTCTAACCAGATCTAACTAGGTGGTCTACATCTAACCAGATCTAACTAGGTGGTCTAGTCTAACCAGATCTAACCAGGTGGTCTTCTAGATCTAACCAGATCTAACTGGGTGGTCTAGATCTAACCAGATCTAACTAGGTGGTCTAGTCTAACCAGATCTAACTAGGTGGTCTAGTCTAACCAGATCTAACTAGGTGGTCTAGTCTAACCAGATCTAACCAGGTGGTCTTCTAGATCTAACCAGATCTAACTGGGTGGTCTAGATCTAACCAGATCTAACTAGGTGGTCTAGTCTAACCAGATCTAACTAGGTGGTCTAGTCTAACCAGATCTAACTAGGTGGTCTAGAAGATCTAACTTGACCAAAATGGTCTACCAGAACAAAATCAGGTCAGACGACTGGCAGACCAGATGATCAACAATTTAGATCAGCTAAAAACCAAATAAAACCATCAGAAACTGTTTTTGCTATATTTATCAGCAGGTCATCTCAGCAGTATACTTATTTTTTACATTATTATTATTAGCAGTATCATTATTATTTCATACTGATTAAGATGATAATAAATAATAATAATTGTAGACATTAAAAACAATAACAATTATTATTTTTAGTAAGAATAATAATATTGTTGACAGTAATTATTTAAATGTTCTTGGAATTTTTACTTGTTTTACAGTAAAATAATAATCATTATTATTATAAATTCTTAAAAGTTGATATTATTAATTAATAATCATTAATAATATAATTGAATAATTATTAATAAGCATTTTGCTATTTAGTCTCGTTTTAGATTTAAAAAAAAATCTAAACAAGGTCAATTAATTTCAAAAGCAAAAAAAAATTTAATAAAAAAATTACAGCCATTTGTGCAATTTGAAATATTTTATAACTACAAAAATGACAAAACTAGAAACTTAGAAAACTAGAAATGTGACTTTTCCAGGCCTGGAAAATCAAATGGAAATTTTTTTTGACCGTGGGAACTCTGTCTACTTCAAAATATCTCTTTCACACCGACACATATGATGAAAGCATTTAGCGGCATGCTAAGAATTAGCAAAGTCGTCATGTAGTCTGACTAGCGGGGGGGTTTCCCCTCTCTGTAAGCTCACTTCGGGTTAGCATACGCATCGTGTAACGATATTTTAGCTGCTACCATGGTGAGACGGGCCGGGGGACCAATAGACTGGAGTTAGCGATCGCCAACGCTACAGCGTACACAATGGCACGGCATCAAACGCAGCGAGGCCTTGAGATGGGGATAGTCTTACGGCCGCATGGACTAAAAAAGACTCGACTTCTATTTCCAGTGCCCATTAAAACCTCAGTATGTGCCCAACCAGATAATCTTACAACCCTACACACGAGAGCCGAGATCTGGAGTCTGAGAGCGCCGATTAGCACTCAATAAAGCGGGAGACATCAGGACTCCTAGAGTACACTATCATGGATATCTTTCATTGACAATAAACCAACTATCTCAGGCTTACGAGTCTTGACTCTACGGTTCTCTCACTTACTGCTGGTTCTCTTCATACACTAATAAAGTGTCATTTCTGCACTTTATCCCAAAATAAACAGTTTCAAACGGGTTTCCTTATCTACGAATGCCTATTAAATGATATGGCCGTCTCATCTGTAATATGTGTATATACATGGACATCTTCCGGTAACCTACCTTGACATGGTGTGATGAGGCAGTGGTCTTTGAGTTGGGAGCAGTTTTTGCCTTCGTAATCTTCTGGACATTTACAGTAGTAATCCGAGGCCAGACTAAAACACTGCGCTCCGTTCTGACACGGGCCGCTCTCACAGTAGTCTATGTCCAGCTGAAGACGAAATCACATACACACACGATGACTCAAGAGTCTGTTTATTCAATATCGACACAGAAATGAGCAGAAGTGGTTAAGACATGAGAAGGTGTTCTGGCACGAGTGTGTTTTGCTCACCTGACACGTGACACCTGAGAAGCCAGGTGGACACAAGCACTGGAATCCGTTGGCACCGTCCTGGCAGCGTCCGCCGTTGAGACAGGGTCGACTGGCGCACTCGTCCACGTCCCGCTCACAGCGCTCCCCTGCGAAGCCCGGTGCGCACAGACACCGATATCCACTGACCAGATCCTGAGGGGAAGAGACACAGACACATTAGCACTGCGCGCCATATTCACTGGGGGAAACAATAGTGTTAAATAATACTACCGTTAATAATAACAATAATAATGTATTTTAAAATGTAAAAATAATTCTTAATATTATTTATCATAATTTAATGAGATGATTTAATTGTTTAAATACTCTCTTAATTATTACTTGTTATACAGTAAAATAATAATTTGTAAAATTGAATAATAACAAACTTAGTAAAATAGTATTAATTATTAATAATATTATTATTTAACAATTATTTATATATTTTCTTCATTCTTATCTGTTACAGTAAAATAATAACAATAATTTGTAAAATTGAGTAACAAACTTATTATTATTTTATATACAGATTAAGATAATTATTGTCAAAATTAATAACAATATTATAATTGAATAATATCAATTAATAATATTACTTGATTATGTACAGTATTTTCTTAAAATAATTACCTGTTACAGTAAAATAATAATAATTGGTAAAATAATAATCATAATTATTACTATTCAAAATAATAATAATAATGTTGACAATATATTATTAATATTACTTAATTATTTATGTATTTTCTTCATCTTGTTATACATTAAAAGAATAGTAATAATTATTAATAATATTATTATTTAACAATTATTTATATATTTTCTTAATTCTTATCTGTTACAGTAAAATAATAATAATAATAATAATTTGTCAAATTGAATAATTATTATTATTATTTAATACATATTAAGATGATAAATAATAATTATTGACAACATTAATAATAATGATGATGTTGGCAATAATGTATATAATAATTTAATAATAAAAGTACTAGTATTTCATACAGATTAAGATGACGCATAATAATTAGTAATATTATTTAATAATTGATATATTTTCTGAATTATTACTTTACTAAACATTATTAATAATAATAATTCTTACTTGGTATCCAGTAAAAGTATCAATTGTATCCATATTAATAATAATCATTTTATTAATTATTAATAAGTATATTCTTATTTAGTCTTGTTTTAAATAACTAAGACATATTTTCATAGAATGTATCTTATATTTTTCTAACAAATAGTGTTTTTCTTTTAAGCACAAATATTTTGTGACAAAACAATATCACCCACCCCTAGTAAGGATACTTTACTTTCTCTCAGTCTACGGGACTAATATCCTAAAGTCCATTACAACATGTTGAATCTGATCAAATCAAACGCGGGATTGTCAGTTCTGATTAGGACTTTACTCCCTGTGTTTTTATAGCTAACTGGCTCAGACAATGTCCTAATGCACTCCAGCTGTACAAGTATCAGCGCTGAGAGCGAGTGGAGAAAGTACACAAAAAGAGTAAAAAACAATGAATAGGAGACAAGGGCAGGAGACAAGAATGTTTATGGTAATCTGATCGTTTTACAAACTCACTCTGTCTTTTTGACCACTTTGCCTCTTTATGTACATTCTCCAAAGCATGACTCAGCTTCTACTATTTTAAAACGAGAATGGATGGAGGTGATAGAAACGGAGCGGTAGAGGACGGAGAAAGAGAGTCTGGGGGGCTTTTACATCTGCCAAAACCAATGGAAACATTCGAGGACTTACCTTACACAGCCCTCCGTTAAGACACTGTCCACGGCAGTCGTTGACATCTGCGGGGGGTAATCCATCAAAATATCAGTTCACATTTCAGAAATCGTGCCAAGAAAGCAACATTAGGCTCCATATCAGGCCCAGATCAATGCACACTTTTTTTTTGCATTTCCCGCACACTGATTTTAGGGTGTAAAATCCTGGGTTTAATCAAGGTAAAACATGTGAAACAGAGAAGGATGAGAGAGTAACAGCAGCTGAAATAATATTAAATAAACATCTTCTAAACAATACTTCTAAACCACCTGCATGATTTGAGGTATTATCATTCATGTCTGTACTAGAGGAGTAGTTTGCTCAAATGCCATGCTGGGATTTGTAGGAAAACTGGAATGATGACTCAAATGATTTGGTGAATCAGTTTTTTTAGGAACTGATTCACTTCAATAAACTTATGTAATAAAACCATTACTTGGTGGAAAAACAGGACAAAAATCACGGACAAGCTAGACCGTTTTGAAAACAGCCGAACTTCTGCCATGTTTCTAAATTCACAAAAAGATTTCAGCAATATTAAGTGTTATTTTGCATAATTTATATACTTATTTATATATATATTTATATTGTAGTTTTTAATATATTGAATTAGCTTTTATTTTTTATATGTTCAGTTTTCATTTTTGAATAATTTTGTGCTTTTGTCATTTAAAAAAAATTTCTATTTAGCTTTAATTGATTTTCATTTCAATTTTAGTCATTTTAGTACTTATTTCAACGTTTCAAATTTTCATTCAAAAAAATGTTTTAAGTTCATCTAATATTTTTATTTTATTTCAGTATTTTTTTTCCAATTAAAATATTCGTAATAGTTGTATATTTATATATTTTCAGTTTTCATTTTAGTTTAGTTTGAATCATTTTGTGCTTTTGTCATTTAAAAAAAATTATATTTAGCTTTTATTTGATTTTCATTTCAATTTTAGTTTGTCATTTTAGTTCTTATCTCAACATTTCAAATTTTCATTCAAAATTTTTTTTAAGTTCATCTAACATTTTTATTTTATTTCAGTATTTTTTCAATTAAAATATTTGTAATAGTTTTTAGTTGTAAAACTACACTGAGTAATATCACAACTTTTAGTTAATTACTTCCCAACACTCCTATGTGATATGAACTTCTTGATATAACTGCAGTTCTATTTGATAATGCACTTATTGACCATGAACATGCATGAAATCAGTTCAACTTTTAAAAATCGCGTCTCAATACAGGTACCTTGCGGCGGGGGGGGGGTTTGTTCCACTGATCTGCGTCTCGCGTTTTTAACAGCAAAAACGCATTCTGTGCGAACCGACCTTAAGAAGTCAGTCTCTGACTGCTTTAATTTGAACTTAAATTACTTACTGATGTCGCAATTCTGTCCAGTCCAACCAGGGAGGCACTCGCAAAAGTATCCGCCAATCAGATTCCGGCAGGAGTGGGCATTGATGCATGGGCTTTCCTCACACTCATTAGCATCTGGGCCAAAAATGACAAAAGAAATCAGCATGAGTGTAGTCTAAATTACAATCAGACAGATACACATGCAGCCAAATGTCCCTGAAGAATTGTGTGTGTGTGTGTGTGTGTTAATGGACTGTAAATGCACTCTAGTATGAAACAGCGGTGGGGTCTCATGGTGGTCTGTAACTTAAATTCTTCCAAAGCGGACTCGGTTTCCATGGAAATTGGATTTTTGAACAAACACACCCTGACTCAAAGAAAGAGAGGGAGGGGAAGCGGAGGCACAGAGAGGGGTAAAGAAGAGACACCCACCAATGAGACACGTCTTCCCGCTCCACTGCACGGGGCAGATGCATTTAAAAGCGTCCACCAGGTCCACACACACACCGCTGTGATTGCACGGGTTTGGACTGCAGTCATCTTCATCTGAAAAAACCAGAGGAGATTTGCATCATATTTCTTCGGAGGTTCTGAGTTAGGTTTCATTTAAGTATCATATCTTTCTCTTTAGGAAAAAAAAGGAAATTGTCATAAAATCATACATTTTCTGACATAAATAAGTGCGGTGCTCGTCACAAGCTATGTTTCCATTCACTTTCTTTAATGCGCATTTTTTGGGATATCGCATAAAATGCTGGATGGAAACGCGCATAAATTTAAAAAAAATTGCATTAAAAAAAAGTATGCACTAATACACACGCGCATAAACTACACTGGATATTTGATGTGAATCATGTGACTTTGCGCGATGGGACGGCATTAACTGGCAAACGATCTTTTTGCACAGGATCTGAAATGCCTGAGCAAAGTCTGACGTCAAAGTGGTTCAGCATAACTTACACGACTGCGTTCCAAAACAGCAGGAGTCCGCCTCCGAAATGTGTTTATTGATTTTCGTCTACTTCATTAAGCAATTTATTACATACATATAAAGTGGCTTCTCCTACTTTTCTTAGGGATATTTAGCACCAGTAAATCAAGAAGAGACGATTTTGGTGGACTCTGGATGGAAACGCTAGCCTGACTACGTCAGACTTCCTACTTCCGCTAATTTCATTTCGCTCCTGTAGTCAGTCTGAGATAGCAGCCTATCTTTCTGTTTTCCACCGGCCTGAAAACAGCCTGGCCAATCAACGAACAGAGGGCGGGCTGAAAGCCGTGACGTAGTCGGTAAGCGCCGTGTTTAAGATTAGGTCAGGGAAATCGAAAACGACCGCTGATATGGAGACGCGGATGCAATTCGCTCTGTTGTGGAGAATATTCCCGGCATTAGCAAACTGAAGCCCGAACACGAAGAGTGTGTATTAAATATTTTGAATGGAGGTGATGTTGTGGCCCTACTCCCCTTGGGAAAAGTTGAATTTATCAACTATTACCGATCGTCAGCGAGAAACTGGGGAGCCTTTTGACAGGTCAGTGTCTCTTTTCTTTTCCAGGTCTTAAATACATAGACAGTAAAAGAAATGGACAGAGCGATCTCATTGGAACTCAGTTGAGACAGTTGAAGCCCATTTTTAGCGATTTTTGAGAACTTCCGTTCCTGACGCGCAGACTCAGACCGACTCAAACTAAGCTCGATGACGTGAGCAACCTGTCTGACAGACGTTACTCTTCTAGTAGCTGTGCGTGAAAATTGCCAACGTTAATCTTGCAGAGACGGGGAACTTGAGCAAAGAGTTCTTTGGCGTGAGTGAGCAGGAGTAAGTATTCCGTTGCTTTTATGGACTCATTATCTATGGGCTTCTCCCTTGACGGGACGTCCCCCCGATTGCCTGGGAGCTTCTCCTCCTGTCTGTACGGTAATTTCTGTACAGCGCGACAAAGAGTCGAGTGGTTATTATGCAATCGTTAGCCTATTTTTACTAAATCTGTTTCTACGGGGCCATAATGTAACATAGAAGGTAATGGAGCACTTTATACATTGTCGTGTTTCTTTAGAAATAAATAATGGACAAATGGAGTCTTTAAACGCCTCAGATGTAAAGTTATTCGCTGTCAAAGTGACCCCAAAATGAATGGGAGTCAATGGAAATGCTAACGCAAGTTAGCATTTCTATATACGGCCCAGCGCTGTCTTTAAATGTCAATTCGATTTTTTTAGCGTATGAAAACTGCTGATTTATGACTGAAGGCAACAACATTCTGCTACAACATGGCGGCACCCGGCCGGCTTCAACTTCCGGTCGATGGATTACCCCCTTGCTTAAATACCGTAAAACTTCAAATAATAGCCCGGGCTTTTATTTGCCCAAATCGTCGAACTGCACCGGCTTGTACTTGAGATAGGCGTCTAACTTATATGAGACAGGCCTTTATAGTTGAGATGTTGTTCATTGAGATGTTGTTCCTAGAGTCTATAATCTCTAAAAATCTCCAAATGCTCCACGTGAAACCGCGGTCTTCCGACCTCTTACTATCTTGTCGATTGATTTTTATGAATATGCGCGAGGGAGAGAGAGCAAGACAGCGCTCGTGTTGTTTGTAGACGTGGGAGTGCGCGCGGCCGGGTCTCTCTCTCTCTCTCTCTCTCTCTCTCTCTCTCTCTCTCTCTCTCTCTCTCTCTCTCTCTCTCTCTCTCTCTCTCTCTCTCTCTCTCTCTCTCTCTCTCTCTCTCTCTCTCTCTCTCTCTCTCTCTCTCTCTCTCTCTCGTTCACTCGGGTATTTCGCTCGCATCATCAAGTGTTTACAGTGGAAGTTCGATCATAGATTTTAGTTCGATGCATGATGTCTGTGGTTCGATGGCTGTGTCGGCGCATAACATACGTCATAAACAAACTTATCTGATTGGCTTACGGGTAACCAATGATTTTAAACTTCAGTACGCGCCCCCTAGCGAGAGAGAAAACACTTCTCTATTATGCTATCCCAGACTCTGTGTACGAAGCAAAGTGAAGTAGCAGAGTCTGGTATTACCAGGCTATGGAAACGCTGCTTTATTCGCAAATGTTTTCTGCGATATTCCCATTTTTTGTTAAAATTTGCAACTTTGGATGGAAATATAGCTAATGTTTGCTTATGTTACTAGAGTGTTGTGAGTGGTTCAAATGTTACGGGCCCGAGTCAAAGGAGCCCACCTCCAAGCGTCTATGACATTCTGGTTTCTATATACGGCCCGGCGCTGTCTTTCAATGTCAATTCGATTTTTTTAGCGTATGAAAACTGCTGATTTATGACTGAAGGCAAATCTGAGCAGTTTGAGATAGTGTAGAGAAGGCTTACTGATATTGCAGGACGGTCCTGTCCAGCCCGGCGCACACTGGCACTCAAACCCCTGACTGGACTCCACACAACTACCTCCGTTCAAGCAGGGCTCAGACAGACAGGCATTATCCGCTACAGAGAGCCAGAGGGAGAGATGTTATAATGTTGTGCTCACACACACACAATCAAAGCACAACTGAGACAGAACAGTGTTTTCTGAAGGAATGCACGAAATACAGACATTCAACCCCAAAATAAAACACACGGACCACACATTTGCCAAACAATGACAAACTCTCCTTCTGTTCAAGCAGCCTCTGCCTGTTTCATGTCATTTTATGGCTGCATAAACAATAGTATTCTCTTCTACTCACGTAACAGAATCATTTAAACTCAAATCAATATTTCAGTGTGCTATTTATTTAATTAGTTCGTAGTTTTTAGCTGTTGTTGTTCCAGCAGCACTAAACTAAAACTAAAAATCTTGTTTGTTAATGTAAAAAAAAAAATAAAGCTGAAATAAAATATGATATAAATATTAGATGAAAAATTAAACCATATTTAGTAATGTTGCCTTGGCGACTATGCGAAATAAAATAAGTTTAAGGTGTTTAAGTTATATAAAAATGAAAGCTTAATAGAAATAGTAAAAATAAAAATGACAAAAACCAAAACAAAATTTTTAAAAAAGTTATAAAACAAAAAAAAACCTTCTAATTCAAAAATTTAATAATAAATACCATAATAGTAAATTAAATTAATAATGTTAAAATGAGACAAATGTCAGGATCCTGATTGCAGTGTTTTTTTATTTATTTGATCAGCTGACTGTACATTATGACTAAATTTAAACGTATAGCATTGCTAATTTATTTATTTTTTAAATTTATTTAATTTTGTTGGTTTTTTTACTCCATTTATACTATTGCCATTTCACTTTTAACTTATTTAACAATGTTTCCCTAATACAAATGTAGAGTCATATCAATAAAATATCTAGTTTAGTCATGAAACTTTAGAGGGCGCAGGCTGATCAGTCCTTTACACGCAACCTGCAAGCAATCACATGATTACCGCCTGACGCAAGCTGATTGGCCTCTGCTGACCCTGCAGCCAATGAGAATGCTTGCTCAACATTTAAATAGTCTAGTTCAGTGTTCGCTGTAAGCTAGTCCTGCAGCGCGTCGTCAGAGTTGCTCTGAACCCCTCCACCTCCCCAGCTCCACCTGCCTAGATCTGCTACGGGATTTATTCATATCTGTCTATTTATGCCGCAGCAGCATATCTTACAGGCTCCACGTCTGTGTATCTATTAGCAGTAGCAAGTCCACACTTGCTCTTCAGTAGAAATAATCAACAGTATCAGCAGTGTAGCAGATCTAGTCCGCCAAGACCAAATACATTAACATTGGCATATCCAATAACATGCTCAAACTATTCAGAGAGTTATCATGATTGAACTAACATTTTATAAATATCTGCCACAAAAAAAAAAAAAACACTATCATTTGCAGTTTACTAATGTATTTATATGGAAGTCCTCTGTGTTTGGAAAGCTTTACTGAAAATTCAGAAATCATACTTGTTTTGTTTGTTAAGCTTCTCAACAATAACAGAGGGGGGTAAAGTTTAGCAAAGGGTCAACTGAATGTTAAACTGAGAGAGAGAAGAATCAGTATCAGTTTTGTTGCATCAAAATCATATTCTCTCAAGTGTTCACAGGCAGTCAGGCAGGGTCATGTCTTGGTTTTCCCCCTTTCAATCTCCCAGTCACTCCCTCTCTTCGGTCGACCGCTCTTTATCAGATCAGTCAGTGGACGGGAAAGCCCCTTTGGCCTTTCTCACACCGAACAGAGACCACCAACAAAAACAGAGGAGTGTAGCAAGAGGCTGTGAGCATTTATTTCCAATAAGACACGACAAGAAAAAAGGATAAACAAAAAAACGACGCACACCACAGCAGAACAAAACGAAAACAGCAGAACAAGAAAATATCTCTATTATTGCGTCCTGGGCGATTTTTCCAACACACATTTGTGATGGATTTTTCTGCTCAAATCAAATTAACGCACACTGCATTCTTTGGCTTGGCCAGGACATCGACTGCTTGATTGGTATTTCAAGTGTATGTGTGCATGTTTTTGGCAGGGCATCTTCTCTTTTTTACCGACTGAAGAAATCTCAGATGGAGAAAGAGAGAAGTATGGGCAAGCACTGACAAGCAGGATCCGAAATGAACCCTCACCGAGTGCCAAATGTGAGTAAAAACTGGCTTTGGCAAGTAAATAAAATTGAGTTTCTCGCCAGTTGGACGGTATGAACGGCAACATGATACATGCTTAATTTGACGACTCGCTGATAAGCAACACGAGCGATTCAGATCAAAAACATACAAATCGTGCACTCAAGAAAACATCTGTCAAACCAACTTTCTTCTCTTTGGAAAATTCGAATCAATCAGTATTTTATCCAGGACAGTTTTTCTCCAGATCTTCCATGAATGTGGAATATTCCTCAAATCAAATACATACACTACTAGAGTTCAAAAGTTTTAAGTTAGTTTTTTTTTTCTCTCTCTCAAAATAATTAATACTTTTATTTAGCAAGGTGAATAGAAAGTCCAAATAAGCAGCATTTATTTGAAATAGAAATCTTTTCTGACATTATAAAATGACTTTACTGTCACTTTTGATCATTGATCTTTGAAACTTTTTTACTGCATTTTTGATCGAATGATTGCAGCCTTGGTGAGCAGAAGAGACTTCTTTCAAAGACATTTTAAAAATCTTACAGACTTCAAACGTTTAAACTGTTGTGTTAATATTGAGAAATCGTGGTGTATCACAACTTTGTGTTTCACAATACTCTAAATTAAGGAATCTGAGCTCATGATACAAGTTCAATCAGGAGTGGATGCCCCTCCCAGTCCTCCTCCCACGGCATCCTTTTCTCTTTTTATACCGGATGTTTGCAGTGGACATCACTCATGCGAGGAGGTGTGTCTGTGTGTGTGTGTGTGTGTGTGTGTGTGTGTGTGTGTGTGTGACCCACCTCTCTCGCAGTTCTGTCCAGAGTAGCCATCAGGACAGGCACAGTGGTATTTGTCTGGTCCGGTGTTACTGCAGGTGCCGCCATTGAGACAGGGCTGCCGCGTGGCACAGGTGTTCAGATCTAAATCAGATGAAACAATTCAACAAATGAGCCAACCTGAACAGAACAGAACAGAACAAAGCAGATTAGAATAGGACAGAATGGAGCAGAACAGAACAGAATAGAAAATAATTGAATAGGAAAGAACGGAACAGAACAGAATAGAATAGAATAGATTAGAATAGAATAGAATAGAATATAACAGAATAGAATGGGACGGAACAGAACAGAATAGGAAAGGAAAGAACAGAACAGAACAGAACAGAACAGAATAGAATAGGACATAACAGAACAAAACAAAACAGAACAAAATAGAATAGAACAGAACAAAACAAAACAGAACAGGACAGAACAAAACAGAACAGCACAGCACAGCACAGAACAGAATAGAACAGGACAGAAACGAATAGAATAGAACATGACAAAACAGAATAGAATAGGACAGAGCAGAACAGAATAGAATAGGAAAGAACAGAACAGAATAGAAGATAATAGAATAGAACATGACAAAACAGAATAGAATAGGACAGAGCAGAACAGAATAGAATAGGAAAGAACAGAACAGAATAGAACATAATAGAATAGGACAGAACAAAACAGAACAGAACAGAGTAGAACATGACAAAACAGAATAGAATAGGACAGAGCAAAACAGAATAGAATAGGACAGAGCAGAACAGAATAGAATAGGAAAGAACAGATCAGAATAGAACATAATAGAATAAGACAGAACAGAACAAAACAAAACAGAACGGAACAGAGTAGAATAGGACAGAACAGAATAGAATAGAACATGAAAAAACTGAATAGAATAGAATAGGACGGAACAGAACAGAACAGAATAGGAAAGAACAGAACAGAACAGAATAGTACAAAATAGGACAGAATAGAACAGGATAGAACAGAACAAAACAGAACAGAACAGAACAGAACAGAACAGAACAGAACAGGACAGGACAGAACAGGACAGAATAGGACAGAACAGAACAGAACAAAACAGAGTAGAATAGAACAGAACAGAACAGAACAGAATAGAATAGGATAGAACAAAACAAAACAGAACAGAACAGAACAGAACCGAACAAAACAGAACAGAACAGAGTAGAATAGGACAGAACAGAATAGAATAGAACATGAAAAAACAGAATAGAATAGAATAGGACGGAACAGAACAGAATTGAACAGAATAGGACAAAATAGGACAGAATAGAATAGGATAGAACAAAACAAAACAGAACAGAACAGAACAGAATAGAATAGAATACGACAGAACAGAACAGAGCAGAATAGGACAGAACAAAATAGAATAGAATACGACAGAACAGAATAGAATAGAATAGAACAGAATAGAATACCTTTGTCACAGAGCTGCCCTCCCCAGTTTGTGTCACACAGGCATTGCCAGGGTTCGACGCATGTGCCGTGCACACAACCGGGATGTGGAATACACTGGTCACAATACTCGCCCTGCCAGCCGTACTGACACCTGTGAAGGGCACAACATCACCTCTGAATATAAGACACACACTTTTCGAAACATGAAGTCACTGACGTAATGCGGCTCTGTTGCAATTCCTAGTGAGCTGCCAACCTAGACAGGATTTCAGAAATTATATTTCAATGCTTTCGCTCGCAAACGTTCACGTTCCCCCGAGAAACTTTTGTGAGTGAATGCAAAAGCATTGACATATTTGTTCCATCATCATGTCCATTTAGGCTTCTATGGAATACTTTATTCATTATCCGTACCTTTTCTGAATAAGGTATTTGGCTTTGGGAACATCCCTACTAATGAGTAGCCCAGTGCAGAAAATGCAAAAAGCGCTATTTGGACAGTAGACAGCGAGTCAGCTCACCTGGTTTTGGGACAGAGTCATTTAAACCATTTTCTGTGTAAATAAATGCTATAAGTTACCTGCAGTCTCCAGGCACTTTACAGGAGCCATGCTCTGTGCTGCAGCCCTGCTTACAGATCGCTAAGAAAACAAGACAGAAAGAGGAATATTGTTACCGCTATCAGCTCCATCTGTGTGATCTCAGCCATTCTCTCTCATCGGGCCTTTTCAGCGGCTCTGAACATCGTCGCACACACACTGCCAACATGATGTCATTTCTCCTCCCCTCCACTCATGTTTCTTCATGCGGGAATGAATGAGGGAATAAACACTATTACAGAGACAAAATCCACCCTAATACTGTCGCAAACCCACACCGTATCAAACACTAACACACACTAGCTGTCAGACAGGATGATGATGTGTGTGTCTGTGTGTGAGAGAGAGAGAGAGAGAGAGAGAGAGAGAGAGAGAGACAAAGCTTTGTTGTGATAGTGACAATCTCAAATAACAACATCCCTATGAGGTCAACGATACAGAGCCATTATAAGTCCAGTCTGACCGAGCCTGAATCCACTTCCCACACTTTTTCAACAATGAATTTCCCCGACTTTTCTAGTATTTTGTGATTTCTCTTAAAAATAAGAAAAATTTGCAACCGATTAGAAAGTTAAAAATGTTCTAAAACTTTACTTTTAAAATTGTATTGATTTCCATGAGTATTTCAGGTTTGGAAATTTTAGTAAAAGTAAAGTCATAAATAATGTCACAAAAGGTTTCTATTTCAAATAAATGCTGTTCTTTTAAACTTTCTATTCATAAAAAAATCCAGGGGAAGAAATGCATCAAGGTTTCCACAAAAATATGAACCAGCACAACTGTTTTCAACATTGATAATAATCAAGAAATGTTTCTTGAGCATCTAATCATCATATTAGAGTGATTTCTGAAGGATCATGTGACACTGAAGACTGGAGTAATGATGCTAACAATTCAGCTTTGATCACAGGAATAAATTACATTTTACTATATATTCAAATAGAAACCAGTTATTTAAAAAATGAAATAATATTTCACAGAATTACTGTTTTTACTGAATTTTTAATCAAATAAACACAGGCTTGGTGAGCAAAAGAGACTTCTTTCAAAAACATTTAAAAATTCTTCCTGAACATCCCAAATGTTTTAACGGTAGCGTACCTCTAGCGTAATCCATAAATCCATGCACAACAGCAGTATAAATATGCCAAAAGGCCACCATCAAGGCCACGCCCCTTACCAGTGTTGCATTCTGGGCCAGCCCATCCCTCCAAGCAGGTCTTGTTGCCATTGTGATCGCAGGTATAGTGGCCGAAGAAGTCATCTCTGGGCCGACAGAACTTATTGCAGCCGAAGCCAAAGTAATGCTCGTCGCAGGTCACCCGAATCTGGTACTGGAACTGAGCCACGGGGCCGTTGTGCTTCAGAAGCTGCCACTGACGGTTCGGGTTGATCATGCCCGACTGGACCGCTTTCTCGATCACTTGTCCATTAATGCCTGCAGGAGAGGGGGAGAAACCGGGAAAATTGGAGCAGCTGTGGTTTAATTACGCTTGTGTTTGGCGTGACTGTGAAACTATGCCACTAGCTTACACAACTCTGGCACGCACACACAGTCTGTTTGCAACAAGCGGATTTGTGTACTGGCTTTAGGGTGAAAGGTTTTCTGATAGGCTATCAACCCTTTAAACACAAAAGTAGATGATTTATAGCCCCCAAAATGACAAAAAGCATAATTAAATCATCATAAATGTTCCCTTATATGATTTGTACTCTATCTTCCAAGCCTTTTAGCATGACAAATATATTAAAATGTAATCTTTTTTGGAGATTGATGATAGTATAAATCACTATCTAATTTTGTTGTGTGGAAATAGCAGCTCGGACATTCTGCTTAAAGATGTCCAATAGCTTGTTTTCATATGACGTCACGCCACTGCGTTGCCATGGCGCGGAATGCAAATGGAGGGCAGGAAGTGATTTGCTGTATTTAGAAAGCTCTATAACAAACTCAAAATGCCTATGTTTTGCCTCGTTTATGGTTACTTAAATCGATCAAACCGCGAGGAGTTTTTATCGTGTACTAAAAGTTGTTGTTCATAAGGGGTGAAAATGCAAGAAATTGACAGAAAAACTCCGGAAAAACGGCTTGCAAACCTACGTCTGCGGTCCGGAGGAGCCGAATGGGAAAATGCCCGTGTGTGCAGTGATCACTTCGTCAAAGGGGAGTTAATACAACTTAAGTGGCTATGTTTGTGTAACATGTAACGTTTCCGAACTTTGTAAAGTCAAAGTATGTGTGTAAGACGAGGTAGTTGCTGATATCTACCGCCTCGATGGCAGGAAAATCTTTCAATTCAGTTGAAAAATCGCTCCTCTTCATAACGTAAGGATCACGTCCAACATATGTTTGATTTTTTGTTTATATCTTTCTCTTGTAATAGCGTGTAAAGTAGTACAGTACGGACTTTCCTCCATCTCGTCCATTGCGCTCTTCACTCCCTGCCCTCCATCTGAATTTCACGCGTCATCATAATCACGTGACTGAAACCCAGCTATTATGCCCTTTTACAAAGTCTTGATTTTGTTTTTAGGCTCTACTATGATAGGTTTTCAAGCTTGAATGTTCAAAAAACACATTCTTTTTCATATATATGACATTGTTGCAGCACCTCTCTTCCTAGTCTGTCAGTAACGCTCTGTTTAGTTCCTGTCTCTATGAAGCTCCTCCTTCTGTAAAGCGCAATGTGCTCTGATTGGTCGGCTGGACCAGTGTGTTGTGATTGGTCAACCGCTTCCAGCGTGTTCGTAAAAATGTCTCACTCCTTACCATAACTGCGAGTTTCAACACCACTACTAACTAACTCAACCAGGACCCTTTGTTTTCTGCATATACCTTGTGCAGGAATTATTTAAATGAGGAATATTGTGATGTGTTCGTTCCTGGAAGAGAAAACAAGACTACAATCGAGGCATTTCAGAAACTGATATAGAGAATAACTCCCTTTGAAGAGAAATAGGTTCTTCTTAAAAATCTTTTTGTGTGTTTGTTGTGTTTTAAAGTTGCGTTTAGAATGAGTAAATGATCACAGATATTTCATTTTTGGGGACTGTCCCTTTAAGAGCAGTGACCAATATACTTTGTTTACTATTGTTCTTATGTGCAGAGAAATACCGTAGTAATTTTTTCAGGGCAGGCCAGTATCCAGCACAGCGGTGAGGTATTTGGCCGAAGGGCTATACATTGTGAGAGGTGCGTGTGAAGTGTGTGCGGCTCGTGGTTCAGGAGAACTAAGCGTCCTGACCCAAACCTGGCCTTCAGAAATACAGGAGGAAGGGCATCAGTCAGTGTCAGGCTGCCAAACCTGAGAACTCACTGTTACCTCTCCTCGCTGTTTACCTGAGAGCGAGACAGACCCTCACACTCCTGCATGATGCTGGAAACATCACACCACTGTGCGAGAGGGAAAAACTGTCATGGTAAATATTTACAAATATAAAATGATTTAAAAAATCATTAAATTACAGAAAATATTATATCCAGTTTTTATTAATTCTGCACAGTACACTACATACTGCAGAATTAGTAAAAGTATTATTATTAGTATGAGAATTAGTATGAGTACTACACTTTGAAAACATAGTTAAATAGCAGATAAAATCATAATTTGATTGGTTATGCTTACTGTGGTTTCATTTACGTGTGTGTGTGTGTGTGTGTGTGTGTGTGTGTGTGTGTGTGTGTGTGTGTGTGTAAATGAACGATGCACTACAGAAGCTGGACCCGTGCTAAAGGCTACTTGACATGTTGGTGTTAAATACAAGTCAATATTGGCACTCCTGTTCATGTTTGGCACACACACACACACACATCTGAATCATTTTAATCATCTTCTTTTCTATACAAAAGTTTAGAAAAGTATCTTCTTTTTCACTGCTGTGTGTGTGTGTGTGTGTGTGTTGTCTCATGCTTATAAAAATGGGTTTAAAAGACTGATGAATGCAAGCAGGTGCAGGCAGCGGTTTAGTAACAGGATGTGTTTGCCAGCCATTCACACACACACACACACACACACACACAGAGAGAGAGAGAGAAATGCACGCAAATACACACAAACAGCATGCTGCATTTACACACTCTTTATCACATTGTCATTCTTTGACTGTACTCTCTTCAAACATACAGAACAAAGTGTGTGTGTGTGTGTGTGTGTGTGTGAGAGAGAGAGAGATGCTTACTGCCGGTGCTTGAGTCATTATTGAAGTCCAAAGCCTCCACAATCAACGTATATGACCTCTGAAAGAAAGAAAAAATACATAAACATCAATACACACCACACACACTCAAGAATCACCTTAAATTGCCAAATGTTAATCTTATTTTCATTCACAATGTGCCAGTGAAATACAATAAGGACGACCCGCCAACCGGCAAGAGTCAGTAAATATTACTTTTCCACCAAAAGGTTTTCACTAATTCAATCACAATTTGATATGCAAATAATACGATGATACCATTGCTGTCCATTACATTTCAGAATAATCTATCAATTTAAGTATATGGGAGATTTTAAACTTAAACCTGGTATTTAAAAGTTTAACATTTTTTTAAAGTATTAAAAGAAATAACAGTTACACTACCTTTCAAATGTTTGAGGTTTATAAGATATATTATTGTGTCTCTCATCTGCTCAGCAAGGCAGCATTTATTTAATCAAAAATTTAGTAAACTGTGAAATATTATGACCATTTAAAATAACTGGTTTAATTTAAAAAATGTCAGCAATGTGTATTTTGAATTTTCAGCATCATTACTCCAGTCTTCAGTATCACATGATCCTTCAGAAATCATTTTAATATGCTGATTTGCTGCTCATGAAACACTTCTGATTATTATCAATGTGGAAACAGCTGTTCTGCTTTTTTGTGATACCTTTCTGAATAAGTATTCATGTCATTCAAAAAGAAACTTATTGACCCCAAACTTTTGAACGATAGTTAATATCAATAAGACTCGATAAACACGTTCAAGCGGTTCAGTCAGTCTGAATGAACGCAGAGCTTTCATACACAGGGGTAATAACAAACATTTCCAGAATGTTTGAGGATCATTAATACACACAGTAATGATTGATCACTCTTTGCTTTATCAGCAGTTATCACTGAACTACTTTCTATCTCTCGATTAAAGATAAGTAACAGGACAGACAGGAGGAGAGTGAAAGAATGCGTGAGAAAATCCGCAACAAGATGTTAGATGATGTTTGAGGGAGAAAAAAAACATGAAACTAACAGAAAAGATTCTCAGAATATGAGTCTGATTCTGAGAACAGAAACATTCACTCTCAGTGAGATGATGATGACGACCTCACGTCACACACACACACACACACACAATGCCACTCTTCCTGCCTCTGCAGTCTGAGGGATCTATGGGTCTTTATGAGCTTTAATCCATCCACACACACACACACACACACGAAGGTAAATTCAGACGAGTGTGTGTAGCTTGGGCTGAATCTACACACACACACAGGCCATTCACAGTTGGAACTTACACACACTGATTCAGCTCCAAGTGACACCTCAGTGAGACAGTGTGAGAAAGACATGAAGAACCTCTCGGACAGCACTCACTTCAATCACACACTGACAGAGATGTTTGTTTGACCATATTCAGCAGTGTTTCCCCTAGGATTTTTTTTCGGGGGAGGGGGAGGGGGAGGGGGAGGGGGGGGGGCAGACTGCTAGTGTTGCGGAGTGGGCGTGTTACGGATACGTGGTGTAATTTTTTTATTTTTTATTAATTGAAATCATGTATTATGAATCATTAAACTTATACAACTTTTTTTTTTTTTTTTATATATGGAAAAAAAATTCACACTAATTCTGTGTTGTGTTTTTTCTGGTAATAAAATGAAGACATAAAACACAAATTTTAGCATTTATCATCAATTTTAATCATATGAAATTAAATAAGCTTTTTGTCAAATAACTTGCTGCACAATGAGCTTTAGCCTACTGTTAAAATTAAAACATGGATTATTACTTAAAAATTTCAGTTTTGATGATAATTTATTTGGATTACTGTTAGTGTATTATTACATTGGGACAAATCTAAATTCTAATGTACAACGGTAATATATTTCTGTCAAGTTAAACCGAACTTTTATTTTGACAGGTTGCCGTGAAGACCTTTTGAGTTTCTGTGCGTTTATGTCATGATGATAGTTTTTCTCAAATGAAGCGGTGAAATGATCACGAAGTGACTTTCAGAGTGGATCCATTTGTGTCTTCATATGGGGCAAAAAACAGCGCAAGCGTCACACGTGCTTCAGTGTGTGTGTGTGTGTGTGTGTGGTAAATGAAACTGCGCGTCGGCGGCACCATTCGTTCACACAGAACATGCAGGATGCGTATTTAAATAGTCTTTGTGTTTAATATTCACACACACTAGTCTACATCGCGTTTTGATTTCAACTGTAGCCTACTGAAGTGCTTTCTATTTTTTCCTCAAATTTACAAATTCCGTGAAATTCCGCGTTATACACTAAATTCCTTTTTTATGACTGGATTTCGTCAGCATTTTAGGGGGGGCGGGGGGTCGTTTTGGGAGGGCGGGCCGCCCCCCCCAAAACAATGGTAGGGCAAACACTGTTCAGTATTGATATCTCAATATTTATGTATCTGCTCTGTAATGGCTTCAGTTAGAAAAAACATCATTTCAACCAAGTCATTGAAACCAATGAGATGTTTAAAAACCTAGTTAAAGAAAATAGCAGAATTAAGAATATTTGATTCATAGTTTAATTAATATGCACCAAGATAAATAGCAATATTTAACTACATATTTCCCCCCACAAATTGAATCATTGAAACGGACAGTTTGATTCACAAAGAATCAAACTTACCAACACAGTTTTTCCAACACCAGATATGATGTTGATGGTTTATTTTATATTTCCATTATATTGCACAGCCCAAATCAAAACCTTTAAAGTCCCCCTGTGGTGAAATTCAAGCTTTTAAATGTTGCCTATATGTCTATGTGGTGTTTTTAATATGCTTTAAGACAAATCATGTGTAAATTCATAAGTCGACAGCATTGCTGAGTATTTTCTCCTTAAAACTGCAGTGAACCAAAGAGTCTCAAAAACACGGTTTGAAATCGCTGGTGTTTCTGACGTCACACACTACCTTGTAACCAATCAGGTCAACATGTGATCGTCAGCGAGTAGATCTCTGAGCTGAGTGAGTGAGTGGAGGCGGGGCTCATTTGCATATTCATAGACCCGCGTATACTAAATGAGGCAAGGGTGTAGAGTTACATTCAAGCTATTTTAAGGCATGATGACATTTTTTTTCAACGTTTAAATATGTCATTTTGGTGATCAAAGATGAGTTTAAAGGGATAAAGTTATTGACTACAGGGCGACTTTAACTTTTAAAAACGTAAAGGTTCGCACAAAGAGTTTTACAAACTAAAGCCAATCAGGAGTCGCCATATTCAATGTGTCACATGAACAAGAAGGATGTTATTATGACTGAGAGATCAATATATGGATCCAAAAACCTATAAAATGTAACAAAGAACCTTTTTTTAAATTACCAAAGAGCAACTAAACAACCCTATACAGTGAAAATGGTTCTTGATAAGATGTTTTTTTGCTAAATTTTCGAAACCATTAAAGACAAGAGTGAGGCATGAAATATCTACAGTGCAATCAAACACGATCTAGATGCTCTCTCGTCTACAGCGTCTCCAAGTTCACTAACAGCAGGACGCTGGTTTCCAAGACACCGTCCTAAACATCCATACACACACCCTGAATTTTCATCTGACCACTGCTGATGGTGCAAAAACGAACAACAGACAGATCGGAACACACACACACACACACACACACACACACTCGTGCAAAGACCCCCTGTGTTTCTTTGTAAACCCGCTTTGTTGAACCGCCTTCCCACAATCCAGCATCCAGTTCAATTGCTAGGTAGACTTGTGATGGAAAAGAAAGCATGCAAGATGACAATGTCTAATTAATCTCCATTCAGGGCGGCTGTGAGGCGGGTCTAGACCGCTCTGATCGACGTGGGCAGGGGGTGAGATGTTTGAGCGCGGCTGCCACGGAAACTGGCCCTAATTGGACTATCAGACTGACTCGCTTTGACCTCGTATTGACGGCTCGGTCTCATGAGTTGTGAAAGTAAACATGGGCTCCAGCAAAAACAACTCCACCATTCAGATTCCGAACAGAATCAGATCGAGCCTTGGGAGACGTTCTAAAAAACACAAGAGATTTTCAGTGGCTGCATGGTTAAGCAATATGGATTTTTTGATGACCGATGCCAATATCTTAGAGAGCAGGTGTCTGATATAAAGCTGATTTAGGCATATAGGATATCACACAATTTAATATTTAAAGGGATAGTTCACTTTGAAATAAATTTTTGATATGTTTTACCTCAAGGGCATCCAAGATGTAGGTGTCTTTGTTTCCGCAGAAGTTTCAATTTTGATATTTTTAGGTCAAACCGTTCTTGTCTGTCAGTCATATAATGCAGGTCTATGGTCACTTCCTCAAAGAGCATGCACAGAGAAGTCCAAATTAAACATGATTTAATGACTCGTAAATGTAAGTACACATTGATGGCCTAAGACACGAAACGAGCGGTTTGTGTGAGAAAACGAACAGTATTTATATCGTTTTTACCTCTTGTAACCACAGCCACGTCCAAGTGATCTGACGGCGCGGGCGCTTCGGTCTGTGCGTTACAAGAGGTAAAAACGATATAAATACTGTTCGTTTTCTCACACAAACCGCTCGTTTCGTGTCTTAGGCCATCAATGTGTACTTACATTTACGAGTCATTAAATCATGTTTAATTTGGACTTCTCTGTGCGTGCTCTTTGAGGTGGTGACCATAGACCTGCATTATATGACTGACAGACAAGAACGGTTTGACCTAAAAATATCAAAATTGAAACTACTGCGGAAACAAAGACACCTACATCTTGGATGCCCTTGAGGTAAGCTAAAACATATCAAAAATGTATTTCAAAGTGAACTATCCCTTTAATTAGAGGTCGTTAATATGTAGTCGATTAATCGGCACCAATAACCAATTGCTGGAACAATCTGTTATCGGAAAAAATCCATATAGTTTTTTCCATGTTTCGTCCATTGCTGGAGCGGCAGAGAAGCGTTTGCTGTGATTAAACCGCACGAGAACGCCCTCTAGAGGTGAAAATAAACCATCACTGATGCCTCGTGGAGTTTGTTTTGACACGTGAGGCTGCGCGCGGCACAGAGCGGGACACTTCAGATGCCCATATAAAACACAATGAAATGGTATGTATACAGTACACTACTGAACGTGCTTTATTAAGTAATTAATTTGTTGACTAGATTCTGCATCAGTGGAGAACAGCAGTTTGTTTGATGTCGAGGCTCAAAGGACACTAACAGTAACTCAAGCAATTGGATTTATATGAAATGGCAACACTTTACAAATAGTCATTTGTAAAATTAACTAAGGTTAATCAAGGTATTGTTCATTTTAACATTTACCAATACATTTTTTACATTTTAAAGTTGTATCTCTTAACCTTAGTTAATGAACTATGAACTAACATGATTCAAGGTATAGCCTATTATTTTTTATTTTTTTAAAGTACAGTACATTTTCATGGTTGTTATAAAGTTCAGCACAATTGTGTGTTTTTTAAAAAAATATTTAGTATCCATTTAAAAAAACTATCGGTTGAATTACGTAGTTATCGTTAACGATAAAATCCACTATCGGTCGACCTCTATATTTATTTTGAACAATTTCTGCAATTAACCTTGTATTTATTTTACATAATATTTACTAAACTATTTAAATAAATAATTTTGGGGGGAAATCTGTCAAATAAATAGATTTACACTTTAGATAGGAACTTCTTGAATCTAAAATGTTTAGAAATAATTTGAAAATGAATCATTTAAACTTGATCAAAAAATACGTAAAATATACAGATTGTTAGGAACTTCTTGATTATGCAATCCTATTTTTCACAAATAAAGAAGCTGTAAAATCTAGACTACAGTGGAAGGTGGTCACTGGTCAATATATATCAAATGTGACACAAAATTAATGAAATACACTTATTTTGCACAATCTTTACTCAAATTCACCCCCCCCAAAAAAGGTGTATTATTCATTGACAAGGCTGTCCGCAGATTTAGGAACTGACACAAGAGGGAACGAACACTTCTGCCAATCAAGCGTACATGGTTATCCACCAATGGCAATCATCGGCGAAACCACTGTATATTTGGCAATCACAAGCTAAAAGTCTTCATAGACTAATAAATCAGCTTGGGTGGTCAATTTGCCTATATCTGTCTATTCTGAAATTATCATCAGCATGAGCCGATTTCTTGTGAATTTCAACAAGTAAATATTTTGTAGTATTGATTTGATCATTTGCTATGATTGAATTGTAATTTTGTATTTCCTCATACAGCATTATATAGTCCACTCTGTCCATCCATATCAGAATTGGCCACCTTATATGTGAATGCATGCTTTGAAGGTTGAATTACTGAATGTGTTTCAAAACCATTAATTGACCAGCACCATAGCCAGGATTTGGACAAGGAGGACACCTATAATGCCCAGAAATGCTGTCTGGGTATAGGCAGCTCACTTGGTTTCATTAAGAGATACAGAGATTGAAAGATAACCCCCCTTAAATGATCAATGGTGTCTCTGACTAGATATCTAAAGCAGTTTCCTGTGGCCATTGTGTGCAAAACAGCCTCTGATTGTCCATCAGTAAGTGCTGGAGATAAACTCAGGTGTTTAATAACGCATTGTCTTGCTATTTTGAGAGGATACTGGTGGAGTGGGCTGGCTAGGGTGGGGTAACACAAGACCCCTGTCCAACCTGAGCGTCATCATACAGGAATGCCATGGCACAGAACACGTGAACGGGGCCAGAACCGGCTCTCACAAAACAACAGCTTGTAATCAGAGTCCTGGGAAATGTCGAGTGTGTGTTTACAAACAGAATGTGATGCTGGATGCCTCATGGAAACGGTAAGGCTTAGGGAAGACCGGGGCAAGTTGTCACAAGGAGTTTCATGACCCGCTATTAGGGGCATGTCGTCACAAAAAACTGGACTTTTTTTCATGTCCAATAACAGTGTGGACGTTCAATGGCTGTTCTGTAGCAAATAGTCTATACACAAACTGACTTTCAAACTGACCGTGATAGGCTACTGCACTAAAGAGTGTGACAACTAGCCCCGGTCTCATGTAATCCTATGTTTAGCCGTCTTGTTTAATCATATTATGATTCCCCAACGTGTTTGCTAACAAAAACAGCATTTTCAACTCACCGGCCACGCGAAACTGAAGGGCAGCACAATCCTGGATTTATCGTTCGTGTTGTCGAGGGGCTTGACAGAAAAAGTATTCCCACCGATAACGGGAGTAGATCCGCTTCCGTAACTGCACGGGCCTCCTGAAGACACCCGCGACTGATACTCCTTCAAACACACGCGGAAAAACGTATCGCACTCGTCCGCCGTGCATGTGCGGTCCAACGCGGCGCGTGCGCCGTCACAGCACGCGCCGCTCTGCAGCTCCCCGTTCACGTTCTGCACGGACAGAACCTGCATCTCAAAATGCCCTGATGCCTCACATACCTGGAACAAAGAATACAGTAAACAGTTAATATTAGTGTAAAAAATCTTTGACATGTGGATTAAATCAATCAATCTATCTATCTATCTATCTATCTATCTATCTATCTATCTATCTATCTATCTATCTATCTATCTATCTATCTATCTATCTATCTATCTATCTATCTATCTATATCGGCTACTTGAGTGACAAAAAAGTATTTTTCCCCCGCTGTTATGTGCATAAACAATCAAAATCTGTCAAAAAAGTTTTTTAAAAACCTTAAAAGTTTGAAGCAAAATGTGAGATCTAAGCAAAACTGCGAAATTTAAATGAGAACTAGTCAAATCTATTTCAGTGCAAATGTTCTAATAGCATCATCATCATCACTTATCGTCACATATGAAAAGCCAAACCGCACGTACCCGCATCCACAGGCACCGCAAAAGCACATGAACGGACAGCACCGCAAAACTTGGACTCCGTCTCAGAATCATGCCTCCTCTGTCTGTCTGTTCGCTGTGAAACTACACGTTCATCCGACACACGGCTCTCATATAGTGCCTCATGCACGAGGACTGAGCCGCTCAGATCCAATAGAGGACAGATTCCCTGATGCCCCTTTAGAGGCTCTATTATCCTCCACTCTATTCTTGTATTGTCCTTCTGTTTTTACAACAATGCCCACGGGCTGGAGAGGAAAAGCTGCGAATGCGACTGAGCGAACGCTCCATCTATACAGCGCGTTCACGCAGGAGGGGCGGGGCCGGCACTTGGTATACTTTACATATTCATGAGTGGGCGGGGCTGTGGGTGTAAATAACATCCACCTTGTTTGTCTTTTTTCTACAAATAAATAATAATAATAATAATAATATGAGAATTCAAAAATAATATAAAATGTGTAGCCAACTTTGGAAATTGTATATATTCAAGGCTGCAATATAATATATAAATAACATTTAGAATAAATAAATAAAATATTATATAATATATATATATATATATATATATGCCATATATTTTGTATTTGCTATGTCAATTTTTGCAGCCTGTGTTTTTTCTCCCCCCCCCAAAAAAAGCCTTTTTTTTTTTAAGATTTACACATTCCAAATAAAATTCCATTAAATTTAATTGAATACATTTACATTTAGTCATTTAGCAGACGCTTTTATCCAAAGCGACTTACAAATTAGGACTAAATTAAAGCGAGTTATCGTGAAAGAGGCAAAAACAATGCAAGAAGTGCTCAAAGTGCAGGCATTTCTCATAAACCAGACAAGGGAGTATGAGGTTACATATGAATAATCTTTACATATTATTCATATTATGAATTAAGAATATTAGATGAGTAAAAAAAAACCTAGAGCATTAATCTTAAACTTAAATTTAAGCATATTTTCTTTTCTTTTTTTTTTTACATTTATGAATAGGAATCACATACACTAAATGGTCAATGGTCCATAAAGATTATAATAATTTATTTTGATTATGATCATTTTTGCAACCAATGTTTTTTTCTCAACAATCAACACCGAGACACAGTAGGACAATCCAATCAACTGACTGTACGTCTATCCATCCAAGTGTCATCTTCATTCACATAAAATCAAAACTAGTGTGTGTCCTGTCTAGGTTCACACAACTCAGACAGCATACTCATGATTTCTGACAGTTTATTCCCACGAGCCTGCATAGACGTTATCTGCGTATCAGAGGCTGTCAGTCTGAATCGTATTAGGCATCGCTCTCTGACCTTCCTTCCTGGTGTCTCTGCATGCCTTATTGCATTTTCGGTATAGGCCTTACTTCACTTGATTGCATTCTAACGAGGTTCATTCGCTACACATTTCGGCACAAGTTGCCATTGTGACAGTCCTGTTATTATGCATATATTATTCATGAGCAAGAACCATGAATATCACCACACAGGAGCGCTTGCTAGTTCTCCATTGTTTTTGCCACAAAACAGCCTCAGTCTTTTCATCCCTGTAATGGCAGCTGGTCGGAGACGGCTCTTTCTCGGGACGACAAACTGCTCTTTTCAAAGCTAAACGTGAAGCGGTTAATCATCTCCCAGTCCGTGCTTGAGGAGTCCCTAATGAAAAGAACATGACAGGAATAGGGGAGGGGGGATGGAGAAGAAAAGGGGAATCTCCTGTGAAATAGAGATGGAGGAAAGGAGGGGCTGATAAAGGTGGGGTCTTTATTTTTAAATTAGAGCAGCTGGGTCTCACTCTCCTTAAAGAGCGGTCATGAATAGATTATGGCACAGGCCTAAACAGGAGCCGCCCACCCCCTTCCTCTGGGACACGCCCCCTCCCTTTAGGACACGCCCCCTCCCCTGGATGGAATGAACTGCATTACATTGACAATGAAGAGAACAGGTATGATTCATATTCCACACATATAAAAAAAAAACACATGAGGATTTTCTCACGAACGAGTAAACACAGTAGCCTACCGTTCAAAAGTTCAGTAAGGGGTCGGGAAGATTTCTTCTGCTCACCAAGACTGGATTTATTTGATCAAAAATAATAATATTGTGAAATATTTTTACAATTTCAAATAACTGTTTTTCTATAAGAATATATTGTAAAATCTAATTTATTCCTGTGATCAAAGCAGAATTTTCAGCATCATTACTCCAGTCTTCAGTGACACATGATCCTTCAGAAATCAGTATAATATGATGATTAGATTCTCAAGAAACATTTCTGATTAATATCAATGTTGGAAACAGTTGTGCTGCTTCATATTTTTGTATAAACTGATTTTTTTTCAGGATTCTTTGATGAACAGAAAGTTCAAAATTAACCCTATATTACTAAGATGTTTTTAATAAAAAAATATGCTGTTTCACTCTAAAATGCAGTGCATCACAGAAGCAAAATGTGGTCAAGAAACAATTGAGCTGTGATACTGCAGTGTGTTGACACTCACAAACCTATACTCAAAAAAAAAAAAGAGAAGAAAATCCAGGTGTCTTTTATCGAGGAATCTCAGACTCTCCCAATTCCTCAGAACCCATAAATGCAGTGACATCATTGCACCTCAACCACGATTTACCAAACCTGACATGAGCATCCCAACAGGCCTGAAGCCGCAGGCAGCGATACGCTGTCAAGCCGCCAGTAAGTTACTCTTTCCCCTTACGCTTCATGAGGCAACCAGTTTTACTTTCCTGTATCTTCACGCCTTGTCTATTCATGCGTGACCGATGGCAAGGGTTTCCACGCCCTCGTGAGAAAAACCTTTTCAGTCTGTGTTTTTGTTTATTTGCATGTTTGTTTACTTATCTCTTTACCTTTGACTTAGTTTTTAGAGATTGATCATTCATAACTGGGATGTTTTACAGTAACGCCGTGCTCGGTTTGTGTTTGTGTGCGTGTGTGTTTGTGTACGAGCAGAGGTTCCCACAGCCTCTCCTCTCCTTTCTTGCTCTGACCTGTGTGTCATTTCCCTGCAGGAGCGACGTTGCGAAACTTGTCAGTGAGAAAGAAAAAAAAGAAGACCTAATGAGCAACTATTGTTACATATTAGATCTACAATGCTTCATCTGTCCTTAGGTTTTCTCACAGACACCCACTGCAAAAATCATTTCCTTTGTCCGCTTTGTTGTAATTTTTTTTCAACAAAATATCTTAAAACATGATGTAGCCTATATATTTTATATATATGCATTTATTATTATATACATTTATATGTAAAATATTATATAGATATATATAATATACATGCCTTGAATTACTTTCAATCTCTTGTACGTTACATGTGCACGAATACAAGCACGAGGAATACGTTGCTGGCTGCAGTTCACTTAATGGCCACCGGTGTCGCTAATAACAAGTGTTTCTGAATTCTACATATAGCCCCTTTAAATGAACATGGTTGAGTTTCATCAGCTCTCAGACAATATGTATAAGGGCCTGATGGAAATGACAAGACTTCCACTCGTCTGCTCAGCCATGTTGCATCTTGGTCTCAGAAAAATATAAAGATTGTCAATGTTTGTGTGCGTGCTGAGGAAAAGCTTTGAGGAAAGAGCTTGTTTGAAGGGAAAACGCAGCTAATTGCAAGTCTTTCTTTGTTTTCTGAAGATTAAATAGCTCAACGCAAGCCAGACACTGTAAATACTTACAACTGGACCACATGATGAACACATTTCAAATCTCTCCGAGTTTAGCCAGATGTTGTCATTTGTCTTAAATGAAAAATTGTTGCAGTTTCTACAGTTTTCTATTTATAGCTGCGCTGTAATCGAGTCGTGGACAGGACATTGAAGTAATGGAGTTTATGTCTTCAACAAGTGTTTAAGGACATATTCTCACACATACCTTTGCTACAGATAAGATTCACAAGAACAAAAGAAATGGCGAAGCTGAGAAATGTAACGTTGTGAATTTCCACAGATACTATAGTTCAATAGAAAACACAAAAGACATTTGACAACAACAGAAAAAGGGCACCAGTATGATAAAAGATTACAATTAGATACAGCTCAAAGTTTAAACATTTGGCAAAACTTTGAAAACAAGACCTCTTTTTTTTTACTGGCACACACAACACACATTTGACTCACTTTTTAATTGATTTCAACATATAATTAGCCTCTTATAGATCAAAGCCATACTTTCTTCATTTGAATATACACGTACATCTTATTATACATGATTTATCAATATTGCATTGCTCCACTCCATTATTTTTCAACCTCCCCCATAGACCACCTGACTCCATTCTGGAATGTATCCGTCCACCTTTCAAAAATTCCTAATGGATAAATAATGTCCCACCCTACATTTTTTATCATAAAATATCTTGTTTTACTCACAAAAATGTCAGATTACAGAATGAAGACAGTACGTAGTGTCATTATGATCCACACAGAGCTCATTCTTTATGACCGTGTTGAGGTGGAATGGGTTGCTTGTCTTTTGCTATCATTGCTTTGTAAATGGCAAACGCTAATGTTATCAATGATCAAGAGTCAATGGAAAAAGTATGTGTGAGATCTCAAGTGTGTGTGTGTGTGTGTGCGTTTAGTGATATATTACTCTATACTCAGAAGAACAGAAATTGTGTTCATTGGGCCGATAACAACAGCCACCTCTCTTGGCCGTGAGCTCTCTGTGTCTGTTTCACAACAGGTGTCGTTCCCATGAGACTTTGCTGAATCTGTGACCTGGTAAAAAGACATCATGCAGCGAAGGCCATGTTTTGTTTTAAGATGTTTTGGTGCAATGCTCCCATCCGTTCCCTGAGAAGCGGGACACGGGCCCAGCTCGAGCCGAGACCCTGCACCGCGGGCCGTGCAGCTGCGCTCCGTGGGACGCATCCACCAGCTTTTCCTGATTACACAGTAACGGGCAGAGAAAAGAACAGGAACGCGATGATTTACTCGACACAACACTTGCAGGACAGTCACATAACATTTGTGAGCGCATAGTCAATAGAATCTGAAAATGAGCTGAGGTCCAGCTCACAAACGACCTCACAAATAGATGTAAAGTGTAATCCGTCGACCACTGGTTTGTGAGCTGGACCTCATTATTTGAATGTTTTGCTTTAAATCAGCAGGTTTGTGTGAGGTTTAGGGGTAGAGTTAGACTACTACAACAAATATCATTAGCTTAGTATTAAAACCATTGCGCTTAGGAGATATTCGGTAGTAATAAGGGTCTAGTGTGTGTGTGTGTGTGTGTGTGTGTGTGTGTGTAGAGATCCAGCCTG